GGAAGGGGAGGAGGAAGAAGAGAGAGAAGGGGAAGAGAGAAGGGGAAGATGTCAGCAGAAAGCACGGGACAACATTCATAAAATACAGAAGTTGGAAGTAGTCAATTAGGTCTATTAACATATGGATCATGAATCTGCACGTGTTACTGAACGCTCAGCTCAGCTCAGACACAGAACAGGAGTGAGAACTCTCTGGATTTGAGATACAGAAAACAAATAACAAGAATATGAAACCAACAGATTAATATAAGAATTACGTTTCACATTCCAAACTTCAGTAACAAACAAACAATGCTGCTTAAACTGTGAGAATAAATACAAATAAGATAAATATTTCTGTTATAAATACACAGGGCAAAGAGAGACAAGCTGAATGTTTTCTCTCTCAGATTAGAGAGAAGGTGCACAGCAGTTCTCGCATGTGCATTATAATCAATACAAGAGGGTGCCAAACCCAAACAAAGCAAGCAGGCAATTTCAATTCTAAAATACGACAAGAATGTAGATAAATACTAAAATGATGTGGGGATGTGAAACCCATATCTGCTGCTCGATACTGGAGACTTAATAACAAAGTCAGACCAAAACTTTCATTAATAATTTATCACAAACAGAAGTGCTGAGAACAAAACAAATATTTACGAGACACAAACGGATGTGTGTGTGAGACGGATAATTTTATCATTCAACCCACAAGAGTACATGTTGTCTGACCCGGGACAAACTGTAACACCAGAGTCACAAACGATGCGTCTGACGGATAAAATACAGTGAGATTTGACATTTTTTTTACTCAGAAGATCATCTGGAATTATTTTAAAACTGACATAGTAACACACGGCCGATGGAGTGAACGCCGTGTCGTCGATGAACCTTGTGTGTGTGTGTTACTGCTCGTAGAACGTGGGTCCGGGCGAGGCGATGATGTCATCATAAGGCGCGCTCTGCTGCAGCTGGATCGAGTTCTGTTTCTTCAGAACCAGGAAGCAGAAGAAGGTCGTGGCCGCCTGGAAACGAGAGCGTCCTTTACACAACGCCTGGAGACTGAAGAGGGAGGATCTGCTGCTCTGGATCCACACACACACACACACACACACACACACACACACACATATAAAGAGACAGGCACACACACACACAAATAGTCATAGGCACACACACGCACACACAGTCATACACACACAAGCATAGACTCAGGCACACACAGACAGGCACAAATAGACACACACACACACACATACAGACACAAACAAACAGGCAGGCATAAATACACAGACAGTCATAGACATATACACACACAGAGCCACACAAATAGAGACAGGCACAAACAGACACAGACACAGACACAGACACACACACACACACACACACACACACACACACACACACACACACACACACACACACACACACACACACACACACACACACACACCACACACACACACACACACACACACACACACACCACACACACACACACACACACACACACACACACACACACACACACACACTTCAATGTTAAACAGAGCAGAGGACGAGGGCCATGAGAGGTTAACAATATAATAAATAATAATGTGGAGCTGGAGACAGTTTGGTAAAATTCTGAGAAAAACTCAGAAAAAACTAGAATACTTTCACAGATAATGAGTTGAATAATCTCTTGGATTAAAGCGGTACATTTTCAGGGGGAAATAAATCTGAATTCACTAAAGAAACATTTACAAAAGAAAACTTTAACATTTTCTGAGATTATAAAGCTCCAAAGAAATAACTAGATATTCTCTGCAATCAAGTCGTACTTTTCCTAGGAACCAAAAGGCTTCACTTTGTAAGATTGCTTGTTGTTTTTAATGCTATCCCAATCTGTGTTCTTAATACAAGGGCATTTTGTACATAAATATATATATATATATACATTTGAATTATATATACAGCTCTGAAAAAAGAATTAAGATACCACTGCAGCATTATCAGTTTTATTTATAGGTTATATATATATATTTTATATACAACACATATCCATAAAATAGATGTTTTGTTATTTAAAATAGCTAATTCAGAAAGAATACTAGTACAAAAATCCAACTTTCCATATCTTAGCATTTTTAGACTTTAAGACTTAACACCAGTTAAGGCCTTATTCTTTAGAGCAGGGGTGGGGGACCTACGGCCCGCGAGACCATTTGGTACGGCCCTCGAGGTAATTTATAAACACACGCAAACATTTTTTTTTTTACAGAAATCTAGACCGTAAAGAATTAAACAAGCGAGTGCCTGTTTTTCCTGGCCAAGGTCAGGGTCCTTGAACACAACACGAGCCTAACGTGTCATCACGTGGTATATGTCTCGTCTGACAGGGGTGTAGTGACAGGAGCATGCCCCCCGGAGCATGCCCCCCCTAGAGGATGTTAGGTCCCCCCCCCACTTAAATCATGTCCACATGGATAGGAAACTAAATACATATGCACACATCTTGTGTCCATATCTTTCTGTGGTGGGGGTCCTGCCACACCGTGCACGTGCATGCATGCCACACCGTGCACGTGCATGCATGCGCGAGTCATGGTAAGATATCTGGATTGAGAGGTTGCTTTTTCTTTGCACAGCAAGAAAGAAAGGTGAAATGAATGGGCTGTGATTTTAGTATTTTTAAGCAGAGGTCAATAATTTGTACGGCCCTCGGAAGATGTTGAAAATGGCCCTTGAGAGGAAAAAGGTTCCCCACCCCTGATGGGATAGTTGGTGTTACTGGTGTTACTGTGGGATAGTTGGTGTTACTGTTGGTGTTACTGTGGGATAGTTGGTGTTACTGTGGGATAGTTGGTGTTACTGTTGGTGTTACTGTGGGATAGTTAGTGTTACTGTGGGATAGTTGGTGTTACTGTTGGTGTTACTGTGGGATAGTTAGTGTTACTGTGGGATAGTTGGTGTTACTGTGGGATAGTTGGTGTTACTGTGGGATAGTTGGTGTTACTGTTGGTGTTACTGTGGGATAGTTGGTGTTACTGTGGGATAGTTGGTGTTACTGTTGGTGTTACTGTGGGATAGTTAGTGTTACTGTGGGATAGTTGGTGTTACTGTGGGATAGTTGGTGTTACTGTGGGATAGTTGGTGTTACTGTTGGTGTTACTGTGGGATAGTTGGTGTTACTGTGGGATAGTTGGTGTTACTGTGGGATAGTTGGTGTTACTGTGGGATAGTTGGTGTTACTGTTGGTGTTACTGTGGGATAGTTGGTGTTACTGTGGGATAGTTGGTGTTACTGTTGGTGTTACTGTGGGATAGTTAGTGTTACTGTGGGATAGTTGGTGTTACTGTTGGTGTTACTGTGGGATAGTTAGTGTTACTGTGGGATAGTTGGTGTTACTGTGGGATAGTTGGTGTTACTGTGGGATAGTTGGTGTTACTGTGGGATAGTTGGTGTTACTGTGGGATAGTTGGTGTTACGGGCCGTCTCCACGGCAGCGTTAAAAAATCTTGAAACGCTTCTGCCCATTCACTTTGAATGGGGTGACGTCACTTTTTTTCGCTTTCGCCGAAATGCATTGTGGGCAGGCGAGCGGAGATTCTCAGGATTTTCAAGATCCAAAGTTGAACAATGTTCAACTTTTGAAGCTGAGGAGGAAGCGTCAGCCAATCAAATCCCGTGTATGCAAATCTGACAGTTCAAGCTCTAGCCAATCAAACGGCGTGTATGCTGGGAGAGATATCCCGCAGATCATTTCCTCATATTCCAAAAAATGGAGGAGAAATTAGCGGTAGGGAATCACCCGGTGCTTTATGACCAGACCTACCGGGATATAAACCGGAGGAGCCAGGCATGGAGGGAGGTGGCAGAGACAGTGGTATGTTTTCGCCTGTTTTGGGGAGTTTATATCCAGTTTACTTCGGGCTTTTTGGCTTCGTATGTCGCGGGCGGGAGATTCATGTGATTGGTTGATCGCAAAAAAATCCCCAAGCTTCAGATACGCCCACCTCCAAGATTTTTTTAACGCTGCCGTGGAGACGGCCCGTTACTGTGGGATAGTTGGTGTTACTGTGGGATAGTTGGTGTTACTGTGGGATAGTTGGTGTTACTGTGGGATAGTTGGTGTTACTGTGGGATAGTTGGTGTTACTGTGCTTCTAATACCTCAAGTTTATCCTTACCTTTAGTGCGTGGAGGACGTTCTGAGTGCGTCTGGTCAGCTTCTTCTCCTCGAGGTCCTGGCTCTCCAGCAGAGACTGCAGGCACAAAGAGAAGAACACCTTTCAGTCAGTGGAGCCGGGAACACCTCCAGCAAGGCATCATGGGAAATTAAACCTTGCCATCTGGCAAACGCTGATAGATTTGCCTTTTTTACGAGTTCTTAGGTTTGTCGTTCAATTTGCTCCGAGTAACGTGGAAGCATTTTCTTTGTTCAAATGTAAGGACTTTTCAAGGATTTTACAATTCCTTAAAATACAAGGAGCCAACATTAAAACTAACATCTAATCAAGTACAAGATCGGAGTACTTCTACTTTTACTCAAGTACAAGATCTGAGTACTTCTACTTTTACTCAAGAACAAGATCTGAGTACTTCTACATTGACTCAAGTACAAGACCTGAGTACTTCTACTTTGACTCAAGTACAAGATCTGAGTACTTCTACTTTTACTCAAGTACAAGATCTGAGTACTTCTACTTTTACTCAAGTACAAGATCTGAGTACTTCTACTTTGACTCAAGTACAATATCTGAGTACTTCTACTTTGACTCAAGTACAAGATCTGAGTACTTCTACTTTTACTCAATTACAAGATCTGAGTACTTCTACATTGACTCAAGTACAAGACCTGAGTACTTCTACTTTGACTCAAGTACAAGATCTGAGTACTTCTACTTTTACTCAAGAACAAGATCTGAGTACTTCTACTTTTACTCAAGAACAAGATCTGAGTACTTCTACTTTGACTCAAGTACAAGACCTGAGTACTTCTACTTTTACTCAAGAACAAGATCTGAGTACTTCTACTTTTACTCAAGGTGTGATAGGTGGGTCGCGAATGGACGCGATGAACGGGAGATTATTATTATTTTTAATTTTTTGGACGTCAGGTCGGAATCGAACCTGGGTCCTCGCGGGCAGTAGTGGACTGTTACAGCCGGAGACTCGCAACGGCAGTGGACTTTCACAGCGCCGCTGCGCCGGACCCGCCGGAGCCTCGCAACAGCGGGTGTTTGCGGTGGCGGATGCGGTACCGGCGCTGTGAAAGTCCACGGCCCACCTATGCCAGAGCCAGCGGCCCACCGAAGGCAGCAGCCCACCGGGAAAAGTCCCGAATCTCCCGATGGCCAATCCGAGCCTGCTCACACACACACAACTGAAACCAAAATCATTTACAGACATAAATTATGCAAACATCTCACACACTCTCACACACACACACAAGCAATGTGGAGCGGCACCTCACCGCTTCATAAGGAGTTTAACCGTGACACTTTTCGAAATCCCGTTTGAGTCCCCCCACTTTACAAATAGGCCTATGTTTATTATTATTTTTCAACGCAAGCCGTCATCGCCACGGAGGAGCACACAGCCTCTGTGAGCGAGCGAGACAGAGAGCGAGAGAGCATACCTTTATCTATTTAATATAGCCTAGAAATCATTCCAATGTGTACTATAGGACAGTAACAAAAAAACAGTTTGAAAGGGGAGTGATTAGTAAAATATGCATAAATAAAAAGAAAGAATGCAGACTAGGTAACATAAGATAAGAATAAACCAGTTTAAATGATTTGTTATTATCATATTCTAAAGATGTTTGGATTATTGAAAAGTATACAGCTCTCTTTCATCTGAGTGTTGAGAGCTGTTTCCATCAATTCATGTTGTGCTCAAAGTGCTTTTATTTTTTGAAAGTAGCCCTCATCCTAAAAAAGGTTGGAGACCCCTGATATAGAACGATACATTTGACAATTTTAAGCTTGGCCTACCATTTTATTGGAGCGATATGCCTTAACCCCGGACCTTATATGCTCTAAATCCGCACCTTATCAAAATTCATTTATTCATATTTATACACATTGATCTGATATGAGACTTTATTGAAGCCTCGTGCACTCGCTGGTTGGATGCATTTCATTGTCCTCTGTGCAATGCCAATAAAGTTGTATCTAATCTAATATGTTGTGTGTGTTCAGGCACCTGAGTGTGGAGGGAGGAGGACTGAGTCTGCAGGCAGGACGGATGGACAAACATGGAGTCTTCTGAGGGAAGTTCAGGATGAGTGAAGTCCGACATGTTCCCATCCTGACAGACACGAGGAACACACGATGAACCACACAGAGAAACGGTCAAATGGCACCATGAACGAATGAATTTAAATCCTGACTTACTTCTCGGAGCTCAAAGTTATTCTGCCCTTGATTATCAGTCATGTGACCGAGGTCGCTCACATCCGTGTTGTAAGTTGTTTCCTGATCTATCGATGAATCTACGACGGTGATGTCCCTCTGAGCTGTACGTCATCAAATAAAGCAGATTACATTAAAAAAAAAAAGAACAGAGGACAACGCCATTGATAAAAAACAATCAAATTAGATTTGAAGTTCCAACCATCTCTTCCATCCTTGCGCATCACCTCGACCTCCTGATGCACAACTGAGAGTTTCACCTGGAAAATAGTCTTGGCAAAGAGCTGCAAAAGTAAAACTAGATCAGATGGCAGTCATTTCACTTCAAAGGAAATGTTTACTATTTCTTGTTTAATTGGGCCTCCTTAACCAACCTTAACAAATGTCTTCGTAAAACCCACTTTTGCTATAATACGTTTTCTTTAGGGATGCTCCGATCGAACGGCCGCCGATTGATATCGGCCGATACTCACTCTCTGCCGATCGATCGGTGCTCTCTATAAATGCCGATCAGGAGAGCCGATCGCATGACGTAAAATACATGACACTTTTCTCAGTGCGCGGCAAAACAAGCTCGCCAAATTTTAAGGTGTCCGAAAAAGACAATAAAATAGCGGTATGCAACGTGTGTGTGAAGCAGAAATCCTGCAGCTCCGCCCACTGTGACGGACCGGTGAGCGGAGCAGAACACACATTAAAGAGTTAGACCCAACACGCTAAGAGTTAGACCTAACACGCTAAGAGTTAGACCCAACACGCTAAGAGTTAGACCCAACACGCTAAGAGTTAGACCCAACACGCTAAGAGTTAGACCTAACACGCTAAGAGTTAGACCTAACACGCTAAGAGTTAGACCTAACACACTAAGAGTTAGACCTAACACACTAAGAGTTAGACCTAACACGCTAAGAGTTAGACCTAACACGCTAAGAGTTAGACCTAACACACTAAGAGTTAGACCTAACACACTTAGAGTTAGACCTAACACACTTAGAGTTAGACCTAACACGCTAAGAGTTAGACCTAACACGCTAAGAGTTAGACCTAACACACTTAGAGTTAGACCTAACACGCTTAGAGTTAGACCTAACACACTAAGAGTTAGACCTAACACACTTAGAGTTAGACCTAACACACTTAGAGTTAGACCTAACACGCTAAGAGTTAGACCCAACACACTAAGAGTTAGACCTAACACACTAAGAGTTAGACCTAACACACTAAGAGTTAGACTTAACACACTTAGAGTTAGACCTAACACACTTAGAGTTAGACCTAACACACTAAGAGTTAGACCTAACACACTAAGAGTTAGACCCAACACACTAAGAGTTAGACCTAACACACTAAGAGTTAGACCTAACACACTTAGAGTTAGACCTAACACACTAAGAGTTAGACCTAACACACTAAGAGTTAGACCCAACACACTAAGAGTTAGACCTAACACGCTAAGAGTTAGACCTAACACACTAAGAGTTAGACCCAACACACTAAGAGTTAGACCTAACACACTAAGAGTTAGACTTAACACACTAAGAGTTAGACTTAACACACTAAGAGTTAGACCTAACACACTAAGAGTTAGACTTAACACACTTAGAGTTAGACCTAACACACTTAACACACTAAGAGTTAGACCTAACACACTAAGAGTTAGACCTAACACACTAAGAGTTAGACCTAACACACTAAGAGTTAGACCTAACACACTAAGAGTTAGACCTAACACACTTAGAGTTAGACCTAACACACTTAGAGTTAGACCTAACACACTAAGAGTTAGACCTAACACACTAAGAGTTAGACCTAACACACTAAGAGTTAGACCTAACACACTTAGAGTTAGACCTAACACACTAAGAGTTAGACCTAACACACTAAGAGTTAGACCTAACACACTAAGAGTTAGACCTAACACACTAAGAGTTAGACTTAACACACTAAGAGTTAGACTTAACACACTAAGAGTTAGACCTAACACACTAAGAGTTAGACTTAACACACTTAGAGTTAGACCTAACACACTTAACACACTAAGAGTTAGACCTAACACACTAAGAGTTAGACCTAACACACTAAGAGTTAGACCTAACCACACTAAGAGTTAGACCTAACACACTAGAGTTAGACCTAACACACTAAGAGTTAGACCTAACACACTTAGAGTTAGACCTAACACACTTAGAGTTAGACCTAACACACTAAGAGTTAGACCTAACACACTAAGAGTTAGACCTAACACACCTAAGAGTTAGACCTAACACACTTAGAGTTAGACCTAACACACTAAGAGTTAGACCTAACACACTAAGAGTTTAGACCTAACACACTAAGAGTTAGACCTAACACACTTAGAGTTAGACCTAACACACTAAGAGTTAGACCTAACACACTAAGAGTTAGACCTAACACACTAAGAGTTAGACCTAACACACTTAGAGTTAGACCTAACACACTTAGAGTTAGACCTAACACACTAAGAGTTAGACCTAACACACTTAGAGTTAGACCTAACACACTTAGAGTTAGACCTAACACACTTAGAGTTAGACCTAACACACTTAGAGTTAGACGATGACAGGCTGTCAGGAGAGAGAGAGAGGGAGAGAGGAAAAGAGAGCGCGTCCGCTCATTTCTCCCGTGTTATTCTCCAAAGTGAATGTAAACTTGAATAATGTACTTCATTTGAATGTAATAATGATGTTGGTTGTTGTTTGTGGAAGCGCCATTAACTGAGCCCCATTAACTGAGTTTTAAACATCACTTTAAATGGAAGATCCCCATAGGCCCCGCCCACTCGATCGGATCGGCGATCGGCCCCAAAATTGGCGATCGGAGCATCCCTAATTTTCTTACTTCTGCTTTTGTTCAATGACATATCCACTACGCTGCAGAAGTCACTAAACATATATTTCTTTTAGAGATATTACATTTGTAGCTCCATTCTAAACAGCTGAAGTAAGACAGGAAAGGGAAAGAGAGGCAGGTACATGGGGCTCTTGATTGAATTCTCTCATCTTTCCTTTGTTTAGTGTGTTTCATGGGGACTACGTTAGCGGTGTTAGCGTCAACTGGCTTGCACTTTAAAGTTTTTATTTACGTGGACAATGAGATTCATCATTTTAAGAAAACAGGCATGAACAATTCGGTTTGAGAAAACTTCCTGAATCTGATGCAGACTTTTTACTTTAAAGGGGACCTATCATGCAAAATGCACTTTTGTACGTCTTTTCTACATGAATATGTGTCCCCGGTGTTCCAGGGAACTCACCAAGTGTCAGAAACACAACCCTCTCTATTTTCCTCCATACCCAAATCTCTAAAAAAGGGGCTGCAACGGATCTGATAAAAACTGATCCAGATTTGAACACTGTCCTGACGTCAGGACGGTGGCGCTACGGCTATTGGGCCAACTCTCCACCTATCAGGGGAATGTGGGGTTGGGCCACGGCCGGCCATTGCCGCTCGAAAGCGCTGGAGACGCTGTAGTACATATGCCAGGCCTGTAAGTTGCGCTGTAGTCTGCCACAAAAGCAGCGAAGAAGACTTCCCGCCCATAGTTACCATGGTTACCCTTCTGTTTATTCTCCGCTGTGGCTTTTTTTCTCCCTCCCCGAGGCAAGCGTTTGCTCCCGCTGCTTTAATTCAATGCAATCCCTCCCCGTCGAGGCAAGCACTGTAATTCTCTCCGGTTAGTCCACCAGCAGATGACAAACACCCACCTCTCCGCCTCTTCCAAGGAACGAGGGGACCGTGCGGCAGAGTTTCAGTTTCAGTTTGTTTCGCCGGTCAAGATGTCCGTTAAAGTTTCAATCTTCCGGACAAAATTAGAAAAGTGCCGATCAAAGGTCTTCTTTGTTATTTATTGAGCTTTAAAACAAATGAATAACGACTCTATATAATAAAACACGGAGGACGGAGATCTCTTTTTCTCCCCCTCTTCTGACAGCCCAGCAGCTGATCAGAGCACGGCTCCCCTCTCCTGCAGGGGGGCGTGGTCAGCAGAATCAGCCCCGTAGACAGCAAACAGCACATAGAGCGAAATGAGGCATGGCTAAAATGCATGATCTGTTTGGTATTTTGAAAACAGAAACGTATAAATATACCTTATATAGGTATGGCCCTACAATATATCATTTAAATATAGCATGATAGGTCCACTTTAAGTAAACAATTAACAAGGCACATAGATACTGTTATTTTGTATGTATTGATTGTTGTGGTTTTATTTATGTCATGATGTGTGCATATGTATAAATGTGTCTATGGATTGTGTATATATAGGATATACATATTTTTATATATATTTGTATTCTGGATTGTGGGAAACGGTATTTCCATCTCTCTGTCTGTACACACAAACTGAAAGATGGACAATCAAGTTGACTTTGAGATATTGGTGAGACAACATCGCAGGTGTTTGTTCATGTTACCTTCTTTATCTGCGGCGCTGCTACAGTTGAACACAGCTGAGCAAACAGTTTGTCTGCCCTGCCGCTCTCCTTCCACTGCATGAGCTGCAGGGTCGGGGGGGGCCATGTCCAGAGGAGCGATCAGATCTGAGCAGTTTGAGAGCTGCTCTCTGATCGACTCGTTGCTCAGCTCTTTGCTCTGATCCACCACCAGCCTACGTTTCCTCTTCCCCCTCCTCTTCTCAGAGTTTGCTGAAAACAGACAGTAGAGGGTCGAGGATCAAAAAGACCGTTTGCAGAGATGGCAAAAGTACACACGTCCTTTAGGCTGGCGTCACACTGTCCCGAAATTGACACCACATGGACACACGAATATGGAATTGTGAATTTCGCACAAAAAATGTGAACAGTATGTTTTTAACAGTTGATTACCCAGAACTTTAAGTATAATTCAACTGAAAAAACAATTAAAAAAATCAATACATTTATTTTTTTATTATTTAGATTATGTTGTTTTCATAATCGTTGCAAGCCAAAATCATAATTGCGATTAAAATACGATTAATTGAGCAGTCCTACCCACCGTGTGTCTTGTTTCCTTTTCTGCCGATAAATACTAATCTATCCAGGAATAGAGTCCTAAAACCAGGAAGTGAGTCAGCATTTCTCCACTTCCTGTTCCCTCGTCTCAGAGCCAATGGGATCTCTCCATAGGATTTAGGAAAATATCTGAAATAAGGTCTGTGGTTGAGACACATTGAAGAGACGGATCACGTTTTGTTCTACGACATTAAATCCATCAGCAGTGACCCCACTGGTGATTTCTGAAGAGTTGACGTGTCTGAAAAACGATGGTTGTTACCAAGTGGCTGAATAGGACTACAGAAGTTGTCGAGGTCGTTGTACGTCATTACGCCGAACACGTGAACACTCCTCTAAGTTAGTTTGCCCTGTTCTGCTTGAAAGCAAGTACCTGCCTCCTGCAAAGTGTTCAAACAAACGCTTCAACTCGTACCATTTAGAATCTGTGTGTTTGAATATGGATCTGAAGTTGGCGTGACGTTGAAGTCGTGCTGCTGTACTCGCCTGTAGTTCCTTTATAGCATCACGTTAGCATTTTGCTTCTGGACATTAGATTTATGATTCGAACATTATAAAAGTAGACATGTGGAGATTATCTGGCTGAACAGAACGTGCATTTATCAAACAGGTTCGTTTCCACAGATCTTATTTTGAGCTATTTTCCAAAATACTATGTAGAGATCCCATTGCTTTTTGTGGAGGGAACCAGCAGCTTACTTCAGGGTAAAGTAAACCTCTCAAAATGAAAACAAAAGACAGATATTACTAAGTGTTTGTGGGTTTTTGTCGTTGTGGGTAAAGGAGCTTAATAGCAGGTGGTTTCAGGTGTGTGTGCATAAAATATGTGAAGTGCAGGAACACAGCTTGAGAGGTGTGTGATTGTTCCTACGAGTGACTGCCACAGGGTCCAGTGCGAAGCCCTCCTTCTCGTTGGTCAGCAGCGTGGTCTCGTCTTGAGTCGGGGTCACCACCTCTGTCCAATCAGGGTCTAGAAAACACACGGGGTTTGTTTTTTAGTTTGAAAACAACTCAAACACCACTGATGCAGCAGCTGTATCATTTAACAAAACCCCACTGATAAATGCAGCACTTATAATATCGTAGCATAGCATTACACAAATTAAAAAGCACTACACAATACATAGCACTAATAATTATTGAACTATTCAGTACGTGTTAACACAGGGTTCCCACACCTTCTTAAACATTACCTTTCAGGTCCAATGCCTTCAAAATGATGGATCAAATAGTTTTTTGGATGTATTAACTGTCTAATTGTTGAAATAGTATAGTAATAAATAAAATAAATAAAATAAATAAAATAAATAAAATAAATAAAATAAATAAAATAAATAAAATAAAATAAATAAAATAAGATGTTATTTGAACAAAGGCTCAAGCTAACTTGCTGTAACAATTAAATATTTAAAATGAGACCTAGCGTTAATGAAGCACTTCACAACATATCAATTCAAGCCCATTGAATAAGCCATGTCGACTTTCAAGACCTTCATTTGACCCAAACTTCTTAGGATGTCAAGGCCCTGTGGGAGCCATGATGTTAACATGAACGTTATGAGAAGACCAACGTATTTATCGTGACGATGCATCACCTCGTTGATCCTCGAGTGTTGAGATGTGTGTGTTTTCAGGCTCTTCTGGGTTGAGCTCAGACGACTCGGGGTTTTCACTGTTTGTCAGAAAGTCTTCAGAACCGTAAGAAAAAGAGAAAGGATGGTCGATCTTCAATTTGACAGCAAAGGAAAAATCACAGTTAACATATTCAGATTTAGGTTAGGATTATAACGTAATCTGTAGCAGCAGCTTGCTCCAAAGCGTCATGACTGGGTGCAGAGAGAGTCTTTTTATTTTGATGAGATAATGAGAACTGTGTTTCAGATGCTGTTGGGAAAACACTGAATGTACTCTTCCAACATGAGAGTCACATGATAACAAAGGTATCCCAACTGTAGCTGTGAACATGACAGGATGTATGATTACCTAGAAGAGCATCAGGACTGTTTGAGGCATATGATAGCTATGTGATTAACATGATGATTCAGCCTCTATGGAGATAGACATATGACAAGCATGCTCATTTCTGACGTGGAGCTAATCTGAAGTAAACATTGAATACTGCTTTCTATTCCTCCATCTTGTGACTGTGTAACTCCCTCTCTTGGATATCAGCATGTGAAGGACACTGTTCAGGAACTAGTTGATGCTCTGTATGTGATGACTACTTCCATTCTGGAGAGGATCACAGATACATGGATCCTGAGATTGAAGCTCAAGCCAGTGACAAGTGATTATTAACATTTTAAGTATTCAGAAAAAGTCAGAATTTTGAGAAAAAAGTCAGAATTTTGAGATTTTGAGAAAAATGTCAGAATTTTGAGATTTTGAGAAAAATGTCAGAATTTTGACTAAAAAGAAAAAATACATAATGTTTTGATTTTTTAAAAGAATACATAAATTATTTTAAATTTTGAGAAAAAGTCAACATTTTTGAGATTTTCAGAAGAAGAAAAAAACATTTTGAGAAAAAGCTCATGTGTTGTGTCCGTGACAGGATGTATGATTACCTAGACCAGTGGTTCTCAACTGGTCAGGCCTCGGGACCCACTTTTTCCTTAGTCAATAAATCGCGACCCGACATTTTTGAACCACTCAAATCTATTCAACAAAATATCGTGCAGTAATATATATATACACTTTTCAGCATACATTATTAAAGTGAAGTACAGTGCATCCCTTATATCCCTTCACAGAACTAAAGAATGCTTTAAAAAAGGTTTAATGAGATGATGGAATCGAAGCTGAACTGTATAACATGAAAAGGCACCTATGCTGAAAACCCATCCCCAGCAGGGGGTCTGGGGGGATTCTCCCCCAGGAGATTTTTAGAAATACTAACATAAACTACGCATTCTGGTACACTCTGGGAAGAAAATAAATACATCTATTACTACCCGACATATTAATAATATTTTATGCCATTGTTTGTTTTTCACTTTGTTCTGAAGCTGAACTTGCTGCTCCTCACAGAGAGAAGAGCAAAGAGGAGAGAGTCTGTGTGAACTACTTTAAATTGTGGGTAAGGGTAGATAGCCCCCATTGTTCTGTGACCTGTCAATCATCAAACCGGGGGTCATATTTCATTATGTGTTCATTTTTATCTGAAGTTGTACCCATGGATGTATAAAGAATAGTTCTACCGCAAAGTTATTCTCCGTGGGGACTTCCGGCAACACTCTTGATTCTGATTGGCCAGAAGACTCGAAAAAACATCAGCAAAGATGTTTTATTGAGAAGATGATCACTACGTGACAGAAGTTTTCAAAACCGTTTATGGTCTCCGGTACTTCCAGTCCAACGCCTTACTGCATGCTCAGCGTTAGAAAATCGGGCCTTCAAAATAAAAGTTTGACTTTTTTCCCCCCAAAAAAAAGGGAATGTTTTGGGGGTTCTCCACCAGTTGAGAACCACTGACCTAGACTACCTTGTGACTGTGTAACTCCCTCTCTTGGATATCAGCATGTGAAGGACACTGTTCAGGAACTAGTTGATGCTCTGTATGTGATGACTACTTCCATTCTGGAGAGGATCACAAATACATGGATCCTGAGATTGAAGCTCAAGCCGGGGACCAGGGAGATTTTTCCTAACAGATGCCATTTATTCTTTGTGTCACACGTCAGAGGCTGGATCTTCAAAAGACGTGAAAGGCTGCTTCACAGACACTAATCCTAACGGTGCAACTGTGAAATGACCATCGTGACTTCAAATACATCACAGTCATTTATTGCTCCTAAAATGCTGACAAAGTGTAAAAAAACCACTGGGGTAAGGATGCCTTCAAATGAGTGAAGAGCACATTTCATGACATAATAGCTGACTGTTACATTTCACCAGATTAACTGCAAATATATTTCATTTGATTTGCCTTCAATGCCTCCTCATCCATGACATATTCAGGCTCAAGAACAGACTGTGGGGAAATCCTTTTAACCGTGCTAGGACACAATTGGTCTTCAAAGGCTGACCTTGGAGTAATAAGTCCCTGAATTTGGAAAAGCGATCTGGTGAGTTGGGTTTACTCAAGTCCTTTTACATGTGTCAACTTATGACAGTGTATGACTAGTTTGCTGTAAATTGGTATTTCAACATGTACATTTTCTACTTTAAAAGAAAATGCTGTTTTATATCCATATTGTGATGTTTTTACATTTTTTAATTGTTTATTTCCACTCTTTTAATGCCTTGTTTTTTAAGCTGCTGCAACGCAAACATTTTCCAACTTGGGATCTATTGGGAAGTGCATCTTATCTTATCTTGTGAACACGTTTTTACTCATACATTTTAGACTTGAAAATCTCAGAAAATAGAGTTTATTTCTTGTAAAGTCAGATTTTTTTCTTGGAAGATAACTTAATTTGTCTTTTACCTTTTCGCTTAATCTGCTGTTGTTCAGTCTTCTATAATTTTATATATATTTATCTAATTCTGTAAAAAGTGCAGTCTTTTCTGACAGGGTACTTGCTGAATAAGTTATGTAATACCTTTTAAGACCTTTTTTAAGACCCTTTCCATACATTTTAAGACCTCATCGCCACTTCGAGTTTTAACCGGTTACCTTGACGACACACTTTACCTCACATTGACTATATACAGTATTGATTGTCCTTCCTCCTTATAGAGAGGCGAAGTCCCGCCCATCTACTTCCGACCCATGGGACCTTATTTCGGAAAAAGTATGTATTGAAGTCAATGGAGAGAGAAAGATTATCTCTCGATCCCGTTTGAATTGTGCCACAAATTACACATATGATGTTTGTCAATCTTAAAAAATAATTTCCATGTCAGAAAAGTCACAGTTTGTCGTAAAACTGTTGAAATATAAGACTATGAAAAATACTTAACTAGAAAGACTACAAATCCCAGAGTCCCGGTGCCGCATGCTGGCTCTTAGGAACCGACTAACTCCCCTTGTGTGTATGTACAGCTCTCAACATGCCCAGACTTGGAGTGATTTTCACCTCTTTTAATACTTTCCGCCTCATTCTGAAAGAAAGAAGTGAAATGTGCCAACGTGACGGCCGTCTGGGTGTGTGGTGCGAGACGGGAGATGTAGTTCATTGAGCGGTTTCACACCAAAAAAAGTGTTACTTCACAGTTTTACGACATATTTGTATTTTTTTGACTTGCAAAATTATCTTTTAAAATTGACAAACATCATGTGTGTAATTCGTGGCACAATTCAAACGGAATTGAAAGATAACGTTTCTCTCGCCATTGACTTCAATACACATTTGGACGCAAACTTGCATTTCCCCATAACGATGTTGCTTAGCAACCGGCGTAAACGGGCCTTCGCGCGCTATCAAGCAGTGAGCGTGCGATGTCCTGTTCAGATGACGTCAAATCCAACGGGATGCCATAAATGAACTACACAGAATCACACTACGCACCTACGCAATGATTACATTCAGGCAGACTGTAGAATACAACCTCTTTGGACAATTCATATACTTATTGGAAACAAGCTACAAAATGTAATACCTTGGGAAATGCCGTTTCATACTTTTTAATTTTCGCTAAATTGATTGATCAACTTTTAATACTTTTTAAGACCCCGCGGACCCCCTGTTAAAATGAAAATGGTCAAAAGGCCATTATCAACAGTAAAGGAATTCTGCTTTGTTTGTGTGCATGATGTTCTTTAGAGTAATATATGGCAAAGATATATCCTGACCGATTCACAATCATTACCCAGGAAGCCTCCTGCTCTGTCCTCGTCCCCAAAAGCGTCTCCCTGTTGAGAGAAGCCCTGGAAGTCCAGCAGCCCAGCGCTGATGCTCTGGGAATCGTTCCCTACACATCAGAGCACACCAAGGGAGGAAAAGGTACATTTCAAGGTTGTTCATTTTTGTTATTGTCAACAAATCCCCCCCCAAAAAACCTACTCCCACAGTCACTCATATGTTCAAACTTCCCTATCTCAAGCACATTCAATGCAGCAGATGTGAATCTTGGAAGCAGGTCATGAATACATCATTTCATTTCATTTTCTTAAAAAGCTGGGGGCTGTGGTGTTTACTAAACGTCTCTCAGTCAGGGTGTGTAACTTATTCATCTGGGACTCTTTTCAGCTTTGGATTTGGTGTGATGGCAAGGTTTTTGCTGTCAGTTTCTTAACCCTTAGATGCCCGAGTGACTCGACCCTACACTCTTGGTGGGTCAAAAAGGACCCGTATTAGAATAATATGTGTTTTTATGCCATTTTTGGTTAAGAAAAATCACTTGTATAATATTTAGTATTATATTTTGGTTCACACTAGAAATATTTTATATTTAATTTTTCACTATTTATAATTTTAGACATTTTAGACAACGTTTTGAACATATCGATGCAAAGACCTCCGCTATTCTGAGACCCTCACAGTATTCCAGTCCCTTTTCAAAACTCATCTCTTCTCCTCTTGTCTACTCATAGCCCACCCCCCATCAATCCATGCCGGTTGATCAAGTTTGATAGTCCTATACCCCCCACCCTAACCTTCCCTTATATTGTAAAGCGATTTTGAGTCCTTGAAAAGCCCTATAAAAATATAATGTATTATTATTATTATTATTATTATACTGACAGGTTTCAGATCTGGCTGTGTAAAATAATCTTCCTGAGAGGTGTCACTTGTGATGTAGTCTGTGTCCTACAGTGAATGTAGTCCTGACAGCAACAGGTGATAAGAATCAAAGGTTCCCATAGGATCCCATAGGAAATGCATGCGGGTCACTTTTGACCCACTTATGGAAGCTTGGGGTAGAAATACAAAAACTACAATTTCTTAAAATGTATCAAATGTAAATTTAAAATGTGAATGGCATGATATCCAAAACATGTTTTTTGAGGAATAGCTGGAATATGAAATGATAAAAAAAATGTAATTACAAAGATACTTCAAGAAAACCACCTCACCGGGTCACAAAAGACCCACTTATGCATCTAAGGGTTAAGAGACAAACGGCTCATTTATGTGTTTTTAATAGTCTTTGGTCTATAGTAGAGCTCTCTGGCAGAGAAGAATAAGATATATCGAGCTTTCAATTTGGATAATACTTGTAATAATGATCAGCTCATCGTTGGTTTTGTTCTTTAAAAGGATTTGTTCACAATAAACAACAGAATATAATCAGTATTTAATTTCTCTGCTCGACACAACCAAGGCAAATCGTTCTTACCGAAATCTATCAAATTCAGAAAGCCACTTCCAATATCCTCTTTCAACGTGATGTCCTCTGAGCGACACTGGTTCAGTGAGAAGTGGTCGATGTTACTGTTGTCCCCGTGTGAAGAGAGGATAGTGTTAACACAGACAGAACACTCAATCATTAGAAGGTGGTCCAAATATTTAACAAAAGGGTTAGCCCTGTTTCTATCATTCAAAACATGTTATATTGTAACACTGTTGTCTCTGTCACCATCATTGATCCACTTCTTATAACATGACAGGCTATTCTGTATCCTGAGTAAATCAATCATATCCGCTGTATACACACGTCAGGGAGAGGAAACAGTGGCACCTTGGATGTGGCAGCTGGGTATCAAAGTCGGGGAAATCTTCATTCAAGGTGATTGCCTTCAGCGTTGCCTCGAGCCCCTCGTCGGGCAAATCTGTCTGACCTGATGTGTGGAGAGAGAAACACAATATGTACTGCATTTAGAAATACAAGAGAGCAGAACAACACTCAGTGATTTCACCTCTCAAACTCCTTTTTGAGTGCGTGTTATACATTTGTATTTGTATGTGTAAGTCTGTGAAGTGAGAGACTTCCATTGAGCTTACCTCCCAAAATAATAAAATAATAATGTCTACGTCACCCTCTGGTGGTCGTCCTCAATGCGAATGGTGATTATTAACCTGTGTTAACACTCAGTTGCAAGTTATAATGCACATTTTAGTTAAACTGTTTATGTGTTGATTTAACTGTATGATAATTTATCATTTTAACAAAACAGAATAAGCAAAATCTCTAAACAAGAGGATAATAAAAGCACATTTTCTGCCATTTTTGCAAGAAGAAATACTTTAAATGAGTTATAATTTCATGTTTGCGTGTTTCTATTTGTTATTTTTATCAAGGTTAGAATCTTCTTGTGAGCCTCTGGTCTATTTCTTATGTTCAAACTAATAAAAAAGATTATCAAAAGTGTTGCTGATGAATCATCACATCTTTTCCCCTGTTAATATTTCAGAAAGCCACAACCCTTTCAAACCCTGTGGAGCCTAACTGTGTCTTTAAAATGTAACAACCATTGACAGACAAGACAAACAGGATGTGCTACCTGGCCTGAATGCAAATTTAATTTTAACCAGGGCGTCAGTGGAGTCTGCGAGGAGATATTTCGCTTTCTTGGAGTAGATCCTGACCACACCAACGAGCAGGTGACCAGAGGTCCGCAGACCGATCTTCATCTACAAAGACAAACAGATTCAGATTCAGTGTATTACAGTAGTCACAGTATATGGGATGTATTGTTGACTTTCTCTTTTACCTCTGGGGAGATGATGTCTTTGATAGTTGTTTCTAAATTACACTCAAATACTTGGGCCTTTGTGAGTTTCCTTTCCCAGTGTGCTGCAAGCCAGATTTTGGCAAGGGGTCCTCGCTTGGAGGTGAAGAGTTGAGTGTAGAAGATCATGTTGGAGAAGCGAAGTCAGCTGTCACCTGTGAAAAAACACAACAATGATTGTTTATGTTAAATTCGGCAATGTTAATTTAGCTGATATTATATATATATATATATATAGTAGTGGAATTAGCAGTCAGCTGTTTATTCAGCCCCCAGTCCAACGTCCTGTTATCCCGACAACAAAAGCCCACTTCTGTTTATTTTATCTATAACAGAATACCTGTTAATATATCAGCCAAAATAGAAAGTGTTTACTATAGAATAATACAAAACACAGAGGTGGAAGAAGTACTAAGATCGTGCAGTTGAGTAAAAGTAGAAGTATACAGGTCTTGGTACTTGAGTAAAAGTAGAAGTACTCAGATCTGGTACTTGAGTAAAAGTAGAAGTACTCAGATCTTGTACTTGAGTAAAAGTAGAAGTACCAGAGTGTAGGAATACTCTGTTACAGTAAAAGTCCTGCATTCAAAAAGTTCCTCAAGTAAAAGTAGAAAAGTATTCTCATCAAAATATAGTTAAAGTAGCGACAGTAAAAGTAGTCATTGTGCAGATTGGTCCATTTCAGAATAATATATATGATATGTTTTATAATGATTGATCATGAAAGTGTTCTCAAAGCTGGTAAAGGTGCAGCTAGTTTGAATGACTTTGTATACTGCAGGGTAGCTTGTGGATTTACTCCAGGTGGAACTAAAGTCTGATTTAACACTTGATTATCAGGGTTCATACACTTTTTCACCAATGACTTTTCAATGACTTCTCCAGGACCTTTACCTAATTTTCCATGACCAAAAAAATGACTCTTTCTCAGCGGTACCACTGAAAATGGTTTATTTTAACATGGAACAGGAAAATAAGGTCCGCATATGAAACATGTTGTGCCTATCTAAAACAAATCAAATAAGCTTACTAGCTTCTACACGCTAAAGCAACTAAAATCTCTCACCAGCAAAATACCTCCACAGTTAAATGCCATTTTACGTTTCATTACTATACGATACAGTATTTATTATCATTATAGTATTACTATTTCGGCGATTAGATAAAATATAAATGATATTTGATGCAACTTTAGTTACATTTCCATGACTTTTCCAAAACTTTGGGAAAGATATTGTTTTCCATAACTTTTCCAGGGCCTGGAATTAGCATTTTGAATTTCCATGACTTTTCCAGGTTTTTAATGACCGTAAGAGCCCTGGATTATATTTCACATCATTCATCCACATCTGTAAAGTAACTAAAGGTATTACAAATTCCACTTCTTATAATTGTATTCATCACAGACGACCTACATGATAAGTTGTGAAGTAAGTCATTAAAACGTTATCTGTTAAATAAAGCAATATGTCAACAAGTATGTTGTCACTGAACTTAAACTCTAAAACCATCTTGACCGTGGGGCAGAAGGCTTTTGTTTGTATTATAACCAGCGTCGGACTTTCGGTACTATTTTTATAAACTATTGTGGTTTTGTAAAAAAAAATTCAGCTATGTCTTTGCGGTAAAAGTTGGCTAACTAGCATTGCGTTAGCTAGGTGCTATCACTAAGCTAAAAATGCTAAGGGAGGCTAGTGTTTTAGTTGTCGAAATAATGGTGGAAATATTTAAACAATTTACATGTAAAAAGTAAAACTTGCTTATATAATTCAACATGTTTGTACAGCTAGTAGTCCGTTAATTCAGCTTCAACTTACCTTAACTTTGAAACTGCCGCGTTTTGACATCTGACATCTGACATTTGGAACGTGCACATTACCGCGAGGACGTCACGTAAACAAATTTAGAATCTGTCACGTAACCAAGCAGCGACTTCCGGTCAAACAAACAAAAAAAAAGCCACCGAAAGAGATTTATATGTATTTGTATTATTCATATTTTGGTTTGGTGAGGTTAAAACTCGCCCATTTATTTCGATAAATGATGAAGATTAATACATATATTGTTTTATTTTGTATCTCTCAATAACGAACCGTTGACGTTGCGTCACCACGGTTTGAATCTGACGGTTGGCACCGCGGTGAAGTTAGTTTTAGGTTGGATATTCGACGGACATTCGCGGACCAGCAAGGAGCGTCAGTTTCCCCTGCTGCTGGCTGTATTACGACGGGGAGATCTTCTGTGCGAAACGAGGCTTTCACTTAGGGACCATCAACAAATGACTTTTCAATTACACAAGAAAAATGTTGTTTTTAATAAATCGACAGCTTCTCGATCGTGTGAATGTGAAGCAAATTCACTCTAGAGCATACATTTATTGACCACACCTCTTTTTATTGCATTTTAATACTTTAAATATTTTATATTAATATTTTGATGGAAAAATTAGCTTATTTCTTCAATACCTTCCAGGTCATGTGACCTAATCACTCAAACTCAATGCTGGCTCAAAGAACTACACTGGCTGCATAGGACACACCTCTTTTTATTCCATTTTAATACTCTAAATATTTTATATTAATATTTTGATGGGAAAATGAGCTTATTTCTTCAATACCTTCCAGGTCATGTGACCTAATCACTCAAAATCAATGCTGGCGCAAAGAACTACACTGGCTGCATAGGACACACCTCTTTTTATTCAATTTTAATACTCTAAATATTTTATATTAATATTTTGATGAAAAAATTAGCTTATTTCTTCAATACCTTCCAGGTCATGTGACCTAATCACTCAAACTCAATGCTGGCTCAAAGAACTACACTGGCTGCATAGGACACACCTCTTTTTATTCCATTTTAATACTCTAAATATTTTATATTAATATTTTGATGGGAAAATGAGCTTATTTCTTCAATACCTTCCAGGTCATGTGACCTAATCACTCAAACTCAATGCTGGCTCAAAGAACTACACTGGCTGCATAGGACACACCTCTTTTTATTCCATTTTAATACTCTAAATATTTTATATTAATATTTTGATGGGAAAATGAGCTTATTTCTTCAATACCTTCCAGGTCATGTGACCTAATCACTCAAAATCAATGCTGGCGCAAAGAACTACACTGGCTGCATAGGACACACCTCTTTTTATTCAATTTTAATACTCTAAATATTTTATATTAATATTTTGATGAAAAAATTCGCTTATTTCTTCAATACCTTCCAGGTCATGTGACCTAATCACTCAAACTCAATGCTGGCTCAAAGAACTACACTGGCTGCATAGGACACACCTCTTTTTATTCCATTTTAATACTCTAAATATTTTATATTAATATTTTGATGGGAAAATGAGCTTATTTCTTCAATACCTTCCAGGTCATGTGACCTAATCACTCAAAATCAATGCTGGCGCAAAGAACTACACTGGCTGCATAGGACACACCTCTTTTTATTCCATTTTAATACTCTAAATATTTTATATTAATATTTTGATGAAAAAATTAGCTTATTTCTTCAATACCTTCCAGGTCATGTGACCTAATCACTCAAACTCAATGCTGGCTCAAATAACTACACTGGCTGCATAGGACACACCTCTTTTTATTCCATTTTAATACTCTAAATATTTTATATTAATATTTTGATGGGAAAATGAGCTTATTTCTTCAATACCTTCCAGGTCATGTGACCTAATCACTCAAACTCAATGCTGGCTCAAAGAACTACACTGGCTGCATAGGACACACCTCTTTTTATTCCATTTTAATACTCTAAATATTTTATATTAATATTTTGATGGGAAAATGAGCTTATTTCTTCAATACCTTCCAGGTCATGTGACCTAATCACTCAAAATCAATGCTGGCGCAAAGAACTACACTGGCTGCATAGGACACACCTCTTTTTATTCAATTTTAATACTCTAAATATTTTATATTAATATTTTGATGAAAAAATTAGCTTATTTCTTCAATACCTTCCAGGTCATGTGACCTAATCACTCAAACTCAATGCTGGCTCAAAGAACTACACTGGCTGCATAGGACACACCTCTTTTTATTCCATTTTAATACTCTAAATATTTTATATTAATATTTTGATGGGAAAATGAGCTTATTTCTTCAATACCTTCCAGGTCATGTGACCTAATCACTCAAAATCAATGCTGGCGCAAAGAACTACACTGGCTGCATAGGACACACCTCTTTTTATTCCATTTTAATACTCTAAATATTTTATATTAATATTTTGATGAAAAAATTAGCTTATTTCTTCAATTACCTTCCAGTTCATGTGACCTAATCACTCAAACTCAATGCTGGCTCAAATAACTACACTGGCTGCATAGGACACACCTCTTTTTATTCCATTTTAATACTCTAAATATTTTATATTAATATTTTGATGGGAAAATGAGCTTATTTCTTCAATACCTTCCAGGTCATGTGACCTAATCACTCAAACTCAATGCTGGCTCAAAGAACTACACTGGCTGCATAGGACACACCTCTTTTTATTCCATTTTAATACTCTAAATATTTTATATTAATATTTTGATGGGAAAATGAGCTTATTTCTTCAATACCTTCCAGGTCATGTGACCTAATCACTCAAAATCAATGCTGGCGCAAAGAACTACACTGGCTGCATAGGACACACCTCTTTTTATTCCATTTTAATACTCTAAATATTTTATATTAATATTTTGATGAAAAAATTAGCTTATTTCTTCAATACCTTCCAGGTCATGTGACCTAATCACTCAAACTCAATGCTGGCTCAAAGAACTACACTGGCTGCATAGGACACACCTCTTTTTATTCCATTTTAATACTCTAAATATTTTATATTAATATTTTGATGGGAAAATGAGCTTATTTCTTCAATACCTTCCAGGTCATGTGACCTAATCACTCAAACTCAATGCTGGCTCAAAGAACTACACTGGCTGCATAGGACACACCTCTTTTTATTCCATTTTAATACTCTAAATATTTTATATTAATATTTTGATGGGAAAATGAGCTTATTTCTTCAATACCTTCCAGGTCATGTGACCTAATCACTCAAACTCAATGCTGGCTCAAAGAACTACACTGGCTGCATAGGACACACCTCTTTTTATTCCATTTTAATACTCTAAATATTTTATATTAATATTTTGATGGGAAAATGAGCTTATTTCTTCAATACCTTCCAGGTCATGTGACCTAATCACTCAAACTCAATGCTGGCTCAAAGAACTACACTGGCTGCATAGGACACACCTCTTTTTATTCCATTTTAATACTCTAAATATTTTATATTAATATTTTGATGGGAAAATGAGCTTATTTCTTCAATACCTTCCAGGTCATGTGACCTAATCACTCAAAATCAATGCTGGCTCAAAGAACTACACTGGCTGCATAGGACACACCTCTTTTTATTCCATTTTAATACTCTAAATATTTTATATTAATATTTTGATGAAAAAATTAGCTTATTTCTTCAATACCTTCCAGGTCATGTGACCTAATCACTCAACTCAATGCTGGCTCAAAGAACTACACTGGCTGCATAGGACACACCTCTTTTTATTCCATTTTAATACTCTAAATATTTTATATTAATATTTTGATGGGAAAATGAGCTTATTTCTTCAATACCTTCCAGGTCATGTGACCTAATCACTCAAACTCAATGCTGGCTCAAAGAACTACACTGGCTGCATAGGACACACCTCTTTTTATTCCATTTTAATACTCTAAATATTTTATATTAATATTTTGATGGGAAAATGAGCTTATTTCTTCAATACCTTCCAGGTCATGTGACCTAATCACTCAAACTCAATGCTGGCTCAAAGAACTACACTGGCTGCATAGGACACACCTCTTTTTATTCCATTTTAATACTCTAAATATTTTATATTAATATTTTGATGGGAAAATGAGCTTATTTCTTCAATACCTTCCAGGTCATGTGACCTAATCACTCAAACTCAATGCTGGCTCAAAGAACTACACTGGCTGCATAGGACACACCTCTTTTTATTCCATTTTAATACTCTAAATATTTTATATTAATATTTTGATGGGAAAATGAGCTTATTTCTTCAATACCTTCCAGGTCATGTGACCTAATCACTCAAAATCAATGCTGGCGCAAAGAACTACACTGGCTGCATAGGACACACCTCTTTTTATTCAATTTTAATACTCTAAATATTTTATATTAATATTTTGATGAAAAAATTAGCTTATTTCTTCAATACCTTCCAGGTCATGTGACCTAATCACTCAAACTCAATGCTGGCTCAAATAACTACACTGGCTGCATAGGACACACCTCTTTTTATTCCATTTTAATACTCTAAATATTTTATATTAATATTTTGATGGGAAAATGAGCTTATTTCTTCAATACCTTCCAGGTCATGTGACCTAATCACTCAAACTCAATGCTGGCTCAAAGAACTACACTGGCTGCATAGGACACACCTCTTTTTATTCCATTTTAATACTCTAAATATTTTATATTAATATTTTGATGGGAAAATGAGCTTATTTCTTCAATACCTTCCAGGTCATGTGACCTAATCACTCAAACTCAATGCTGGCTCAAAGAACTACACTGGCTGCCAGGATAACAACCTCCATCTCAACTTCAGCAAAACCAAAGAGCTGATTGTGGACTACATGAAGCAGCAGAGAGAGGGTCACGCCCCCATCGCCATCAATGGGACTACGGTGGAGAGAGTCAGCAGCTTCAGGTTCCTTGGGGTCCACATCACTGAGGACCTGACATGGACTCTTCACACCACCACCATCACCAAAAAAGCTCGACAGCGGCTCTTCTTCCTCCGCAGGCTGAGGAGGTTCAACATGGACTCCAGGATACTCTGCAACTTCT